TCTGTTGTGTATATATATATATGTATATATATATATATATATATATATATATATATATATATATATATATATTCAATGTTGTGTGTTTTGTATTTTAATATCACACTAAAGCAGGTCTTCTATAGTATAACCATGATCTTTATCACACTACACTGCATTTTAACATTGATCTCTATTACACCCTACTGCTATGTAACAAAGATTTATATTAAACTCTAATCATTAATTAATTTAATTTGTCTCACATTGTTATTATAAAGTCTTTGATACAGATTTTAGTTACAGCTTTTATGTTTATCACGTGTAGTGTCTGAGTAGGAACATGATAATTGACTTTTATTGCGCATTTGTACAATTAGTTTTGCTCTACTTTTTGTTGTTACTTAGATGTTAGAAGAAGAAGTAGAGGACAGTTCAACTGCAACAATAATTATACTGTTATTAAAGAGATCATTTACAAACGTATATTAAATAATATTTTAACACAGAGAAGAACACAAGTCGCCATTTTATTTTATAGCCATTTATTACAATTTTATAGCTTATAAACTATGCATTATGTTTAAGCTTCAAAATTTTATTTCTCTTAAAATTTGTATATGTTTGGTTTTTGGTTTTGTCATAGCAGCCTCGCATTACAGCATTATATCTTTTGCAGCGCTTGATAGGGGAGAATTTTGTTCATGGGACACTACACATATGTTTTTTAGTATTTAATATACGTTGCCACTATTTGCTGTGATGGGTTTGGTTTGTGATAAGTGAGAAATAAAAATGTTGATTTCCACTTTAAAAATCGTTACATTTAATTAATGTTAATAGATAGTTGCTTGAATTGAGGACACCGTCAACGAAATAAAAGACATATCTAACATCCAAGATCTAACATCTAAGATGCGCTTGTTATGGTAGCTACAGCAAAGAGTGTAATATTTGAACATGTGAATATGATGAATGGTATGGTAATCTGTATGTTTAATGTTATTTTAAAAGAGAAATAATGCCTAAATTTAAAAAGTGCATATTTAAATATAATTTGTTACATATATATATATATATATATATATATATATATATATATATATATATATATATATATATATATATATATGTGTGTGTGTGTATGTATATTCATTTATTTACTGATTTACTAAAAATGTTTCCAAGCTTAAATTGTTTTAAGTTTACAAATTTATATTCAATTTATATATAAAATGTTTGTTTATCTTGTATACAGAAACCACCAATCTTTACCCTCCCACTGTGATGACAGGAGACAAGACAACAACAGAGAGTAAAGGTTTTACCCCAGCAGGTGCTCAACTGATTCCTACAGTGTCTATGTCTGGTCATAATATTTTTAATGTGATTGTAATTTTTTACCACACCACAAATAAACATTCTATCAAAAAGTAAAAAACAAGTTAATAAAAAGTCTAGTGACAATTTAAGCAGAATTTCCTTATGTTATCCATAACAGTTTTAAATCGAGATAAATCATGTATTCAGCAACGGAAATAGTTTTATTTTAACGAGCAGGCCTACACGATGCTCACTTTAAAAAAAAAAAAAGACAACTATATTAAGCTATATCAACGAGTAGGCCTACTCTTAATTAATGTTTTGTGACCAAACGAAAGGATATTTTTGAAAACTTTCTTCGACAATATTGTTCTAAATTATGGCAGTAATCGATTGGTAAATGTTTCAAGTCGCTAAGGGGTCTGGTTGCCGAGATATGGGCAAAACAACTGCATGTTTTCAAGGTTTTTTGGCTTTTCCAGGAAATCCAGGAAGGAATTCCGGGAATTTTTTTGGCCCACAATCATCCTCGGAACTTGCTTAACATATTTGCGTTGGAACTAGTCCTCGATATTGCATCGTTGAGGAGGAGATACGATTTAAAGCTGCGGACACACATCCATCCATCCATCCATCCATCCATCCATCCATCCATCCATCCATCCATCCATCCATCCATCCATCCATCCATCCATCCATCCATCCATCCATCCATCCATCCATCCATCCATCCATCCATCCATCCATCCATCCATCCATCCATCCATCCATCCATCCATCCACCCACCCACCCACCCACCCACCCATCCACCCATCCACCCATCCACCCACCCACCCACCCATCCATCCATCCATCCATCCATCCATCCATCCATCCATCCATCCATCCATCCATCCATCCATCCATCCATCCATCCATCCATCCATCCATCCATCCATCCATCCATCCATCCATCCATCCATCCATCCATCCATCCATCCATCCATCCATCCATCCATCCATCCATCCATCCATCCATCCACCCACCCACCCAAACACCCACCCACCCACCCACCCACCCACCCACCCACCCACCCACCCACCCACCCACCCACCCACCCACCCACCCACCCACCCACCCATCCACCCATCCACCCATCCACCCATCCACCCATCCACCCATCCACCCATCCACCCATCCACCCATCCATCCATCCATCCATCCATCCATCCATCCATCCATCCATCCATCCATCCATCCATCCATCCATCCATCCATCCATCCATCCATCCATCCATCCATCCATCCATCCATCCATCCATCCATCCATCCATCCATCCATCCATCCATCCATCCATCCATCCATCCATCCATCCATCCATCCATCCATCCATCCATCCATCCATCCATCCATCCATCCATCCATCCATCCATCCATCCATCCATCCATCCATCCATCCATCCATCCATCCATCCATCCATCCATCCATCCATCCATCCATCCATCCATCCATCCATCCATCCATCCATCCATCCATCCATCCATCCATCCATCCATCCATCCATCCATCCATCCATCCATCCATCCATCCATCCATCCATCCATCCATCCATCCATCCATCCATCCATCCATCCATCCATCCATCCATCCATCCATCCATCCATCCATCCATCCATCCATCCATCCATCCATCCATCCATCATCTGTAGTTGTACTAGTCAGTCCAGAAAATTAGTGGGAGCAATAAGTCTGGAAAGTAAGCCGCACCAATGTCGTCATGTAGAGAAGAGTCGGTAGTTGACGTGACATAAGGGGAATTGAAGTAGCGATGTAGACAGGCAGTGATAGAAATAGGTGGAATGAGATTGAAGCCTCAAAATATTAAGAGCATTTTTCTTTTGTGCTAAATAAAATAGAATAAAACGTTTAAATATAAATGTATAAGATATATTAGTTAATTTTTGAGCTTAACCTGAAGCTCTGGGAAAATTGACGAATATTATCTTTTTTAATGATTATCAAAGTTGCAAAATTGGCGAAGAAAAATAAATTTTGAAAATATTGCCCTGTTTGGTGAATATGATTGTGAGGTAAATACATATTTGAAAGAGCAGATTTCTGGGCATCTTGAATCTCTTGGCATCGAACTGCGACTTTATCCCTATTCTCTGATTCCCTTGATGTTGCTAGCATTCCCAATAAATTACAAGATGGATTCTTAAATGTGCGGATTGATTCCGCTTCAGATAAAACAATGCTTACACAATTTATGTTGTAGTATGCATCATTTATACCCAAACGTGATTGCATTTTGAGTTTTAGTTCCTTTTGTGTCTACACATCTTAATTAAATGTTAAGAATGACATGATGTTGGCGTTAAAAAACCTCATCCTCGAATGTCGAGGCTCTTTAATAGCATTCAATTTTACTCATCGTATTAAAACAGTTATCAATAATAATTCATATTAAAAGTCTACTAGAAAATCTATTTTTATTACTGATTAATTTTCTTACTAATTTCGACTTTTTAATTATATGGGGGTCGCGGGTCACTTAATTTTTATAAAAGGGGATCGCCACTAGAAAAAGTTTGGGAACCACTGGTCTAGACAATGAGCGGACAAATAATTCCCCCCCCCCCCACAATACATGCCTGAAGACATGCCTGAAAGAAAATCTGTGCACAAAATAGTTTTGTTTATGTTTATATATTCAAAGTTGTCTGCTAACGAAGATAATTTTTAAATTTCTATATATGTATGTATATATATATATATATATATATATATATATATATATATATATATATATATATATATATATATATATATATATATATATATATATATATATTTACACATATAATTGAGTATGATTTTTATAGGTGCATTTTCGACGGTTGATTCGGCGCAGAACTATCCTAACAGTTCGTCTACATACAGCCATCTAATGTTTACAAATTAAGTATATTGAGAGACGTTTTTATAACTTCTTTTTTTAACAAGTAGGGACATTTTGTTATTTTATGTCTTGCAGTCAACCAATAAGTAAAACCTTCTACACGGGGGTTTATTGTTTCACAAGATCGCTGGGACCACAGGAATATGTATAGAGAAGACTATCTTATTTTATTCAACACTGTAGAACGTAACGTAGGAAATCATTTTGATTCAAACACTGAAGAGTTTACCGCTCCTGTTGATGGTTGTATGTAGTAACCTTTACAAAAAACCAAACAGGAGATCGTGCTGTAGCAGGTAGTGTTGGGTACATATCTGGTACTCTGGTGTCATGGCTCGGTGATGCTAGGACAAAGATAAATATGTTAAGGTTTTAAGATCATTTGACGAAAGGCTTTCCATCATTATTGTTGACTTGGAAGGGGACAACAAAGCCAAAGTATGTCGCCATCTGTAGTGCCGACTTTTAGGATGGTGTTCGACTCACCTCTACATTACCGAAACTCAGTGGAGATAACTCAACTGTATACAGTTTAAAAAAGAACATTCTTGTCATAATAGTTGTATAAGCGAAAACAAGTTTAGGCTTATAGGCTACTGTCGAAATAACTGGTGCTACATTTTTTTTTGGTGAAGTACATAATAAATGTTGTCGGCGGCCTCTCGAGCTGTGGTCTTTGATTATTTTTCCGAAGAATTTTTTTTTTATGACAGAGCTTTTGATTGTTGGAGAAAAAAATGAATTCGGTCTTTATAGAGCAGGTTAGGTTGATTTATGAATAAAGATGATCTGAATAAACAACTTGAACTGTGTATATTTTGTTGGGTTGAAAGAAAGTAGGTCGTACATCTTTATATAAGCAAAATAATACTCTAGTAATTTTTATTTTGCTGTATATGAAGTTTGATTATTTTTAAATGTTTTTTTAAATTTAAATTGATTTTTTTCAGTAGTAGATTACAGTGAAAGAGATGTTTATTGTTGTTTTTTAGACCAATGATATGGATTACCCAACTGTACAAAATTGATTATTTTAACTTGCATATAAAATAAAAACATTTTACTGACAATACAAACGTACTAATTGCGACAGTTTTACTTATCTGTTCTTATTTCGTTGTATGTAACTTGTGCACATGGGATTTTATTCGTTGCTAGTGTCCCACTTAAAGGACGATGATCACAGTATTGATGTGCTTTAATGTTTTCAGATAGCACAATATCCCTTAGTTCATTCTGAGTTCAAAAGGTAAGCGACATTTTTTCTAAAAGTACAATCAATAATAGGACATTGGATAGAACTTAAATTTAAGACGATTTTACCTGACATAAAAAAATAATTTTCAGTTTAAGCGCGTAATATTTAATAATCTTGTAGGCCTACTTGTTTTTTAAGACAATACATTTTGTTTATTTTTTGTTTTATTTTGAGGATCATTGCGACACATAGGCAGAAAATACATCGGCATTGTTCAATGCAGTATTCAAAAGCAAAAAAATATGTTTATCAAAGAATATTACTGATTAATTAAGAAAAATGAGTATCGTCATTTTATTTTAATAATCAATAAACACAAAACGAAAATAGCATTGAATAAATGATTATTCACATATAGGTACTCACGCAATATATATTATTTTAACATGAATAGATATCAAGCGGTTAAGCTAAGTGACACCTCGAGGTCTGTGAAAGCAGAGAAAAAGGACGTAAGTCATTTGTATAGAATGTGTTTGAATTTTTGTTTGAATTTAGCTTAATATGTATCTTGCATAAACCAAAAAAAAGTAAATTGTAACTGATAGATAGCACATGATAAAAACGTTGTATTTACTTGTAAAAGTTGTGCTACGATTTATGTCACTCAGAAAACAGACGAGAACAAGAAAAATGTGTGCATTCACATTCACTATAGCTACTGGTTAAATATAAAACATCTCCAGCTTTCATCGGAACCTCAAAAGTTCTTGAAACTTCAACAGATTTTTCTGTTGTCTTAACACAACAGAGCCGTGATACTACACCACAAGATCTGTGCCTAACGCCAGCTACTACAGCACGATCTCCTGTTTGTTTTATTGTAAGACTTGCTTCATACAGGCCATAAACAGGGGCGGTAAACACGCCAATTTTTGGATCAAAATGGTTTCCTTCGTTGGTTTCTACATCACTGAATGTAATAACGTTGTATACATTACACGTTTTCCCGTCCCAGCACCCTTGTGAAGCAATAAACAACGGACTTAAAAATGTCACTTGTTGATTGGCTACAAGAAATTAAAACACATAATTGTCTCTGCTTATTAAAATGAAGTTAAAATAAAACAAGTTATACATACCCTGTACACTAGAACTAATTTATAAACACTTGATGGCTGCATTTAGACCAAACCATCACATTTGTACTTCGCCTTAACGAGCATTCAATTTTATGTCCCATGTAAATTACTAAGTATACTCTAAAAATACATTTGTATATTAAATGCAAATAACCCACACATGTCATTATACTATGCATATTATTGGCCTATTGTTTGTTCGTGAAAAAAAATGTTTAGGGTCCAACCACTTTACATCATTTGTAAAGTAAGCTAAATAGAAAAACATTTATTTTATCACTCTCGTAATTTCGGCTAGCATTGGTTTGATAATTGTTTTATGTGTTTTGTTTCCCTTCCTCAAGTAACCAAACATGTCTCCCTCTGTAACAATTATTTGATCTATAATTTAAGGCTGATATTAAAAGTCGAGTGCGCGGACCTTTGACCAAAGCGGAGCTTTGACCATAGGGGTTTGACCATAGGGGGTTTGACCACTGGTGTTCTTGCAGAAGAAGGTCTTTGATCACAGGTGGTTTGTCAACGGGTGTTTGATCACAAGCGCTGTGCAGAGGCGTAGCGACCCTTCCCGGCGCCCGGGGCGAACTTTCGATTTGGCGCCCCCCCCCCCCGCTTATATATATATATATATATATATATATATATATATGTGTGTGTGTGTGTGTGTGTGTGTGTGTGTGTGTGTATAATTATGTGTGTGTGATAGTGTGTTTATATATAAGCTTGTGTGTGGGTAAGAGTGTATTTGTGTGTGTAAGCGTGTGTGTAAGCGTGTATGCTACAGTCCGGACAAGGTTTCATAATTACATTGTATGATTTTCATTCCTTAAAACTTTACGACAATTTAATTCCCATTAAGATGCGTTTAACTTTTTTTGCGAAAGATTAGTAATGTCAGTAAAAAAAATAAGCCTGATCTGTGTTACAGGGTAGTTTGTAGCTAACGCTAATATGTTTAGACCAGCCTTTTATGTTCTAGTTTTGAACGATCTCTGTTGTGATATGGTACATAGTTGGATTCGAAGTTTGTTAGAGTAAGGACACACAAGTGACATACAAGAAGAAGTTATCAGAAATATTTATTGTTCACATTGGAATACGACATGGGTATTTCGTTTAATGGTTGATGGTATGACAAAACAAGCTAGAGAAAACAAACTGGAATCCAACGGATGTTAACAGCTCGTAGTCTTGGATTTCGCAGATTTGCCCTGCCTTCTCGCACACAGTTTCTTCCAGGCATCTTTTCGGGGGGACGAAGCCCCCCGGAAATTTTTTTACACCCCCCCCCCCCGAACGAAATGAAATTTATATAATTTATATATAGAAAATATATACTTTTAACAGTGTCCGCCCCCCCCCCCCGAAGAAAGTTTACCGCCTCCCCCCTCCCCCCGAAGATTTCAAGAAACACTGATCAAAAGTATCCGATCTCTCACGTTGAAGTTGAGAGAATCGTAAGAATCTTACAAAGAACTAGTCGCGTCTTTTTTTTAACAAAACTGGCTATTGAAATTGTACATTACGCGTTAATACACTTGGTTTCTTTACTAAGTGTTAAGAGAGTTATCTACTCACCAATCCAGTACAAATACTTGCGATTTTTGTTAGCGAAAAAAGCGCCCCCCCCCCCACCCCCACACACACTCATCACAACCATCTTGGACAAAGTTTGTAGAGCGGTTTTTAACGTAACTAACTTTTTTTTTTAAAATGTTACACAATTATACAATGCACAGTACAATTCGTTTCTTTCTGAGAGCTAAAGGTTGTTTACTCAGAATCCTGTGTAATTTTGCTATTTTATTTAGCCTAAAAGCGCCCCCCTGCACCATCTTGATAAAAGTCACTAACGTATTTTACAGTTCAACAATCGTACAATACGTTTTAATACAATTGGTTTCTTTTAATAGTGGTAACGTTTATCGACTCAACAATCTGGTGTAAATTCTTCCGTTTTAAGTCTCGAAAAAGCGCCCCCCCCCCCCCATCTAGGAAAAGCTTCAAAGCGGTTTTGCCGGTCACTGTTTCTTAAGAGTATATGTTTTACATTAAGAAATCAAGATAGAAAACAGTTAAATCAGTATGTAAATGCGTGTAGCCATTACATTTCTTAATTTAGACAGTTTATAATTCAAAACTGCAGCATAAAATCAGCTTTAAAAAAATTTTCCCACCCCTTTTGGCGCCCCCATAGGGTCGGCGCCCGGGGCGGCCCCCCCCCCCCTAGCTACGCCTCTGGCGCTGTGTCTGGCTTTAAACACATGAGTTTTTTTCCATATAGGGTCTTTGATCACAGGGTTATTTGTCCACATAGGGTCTTTGATCACAGGTGGTTTGTCCAATGCTGGCGTTTGATAATAAGCGCTTAGTCTATAGATTGTAATGATTTGTTTTAAATGTTGTGTAATTATATTTTAAATTGCGGCAGGATATAATAATATGTTAATTCATCATATATAAATACAAGTCATCTAAACCATACAATTATTACTGCTTTGACTACACTGTTAGCATGTTTTTTATCCTTTGTTATCCTTTCTATTTATGTATTTTCAAGTACATCTATATTATTTATTTGTGAAACTTGTTATATGTCGCATTATTTGTGTTCCATTTATATTTAAAATAAATTCTATGAGGCGTAGCACCAGCCTTTAAGTGGAGACTAAAATATCGTTCTTAACTTTTTTTAGTACGTTAATTTTTATTAATGGACTCACAGGAAACATGTATAAATTCGTATTAATTGTATCGCCAATTTAAATCAAATAAAAATTTATAATATCTATATTAAAAACAATATATTATGGTTCACCCCTTTCTGTGGTCCAAGCCCCCAAGGTTAAACCCCCTAGGGTCAAAGCACATAGGACCCGCCAAAACAATGATACAATTTTGATGTTTCATTACTTATTTATTTCTACTAACAAACTTTAGATCAGATTTTCTTCCAGGCATCACTTTGGAAAATTTTTTACCGCCCCCCCCCCCCGAACAAAATGAAATTTATATAATTTATATAGAAAATATATACTTTTAACAGTGTCCGCCCCCCCCCCCCCCCCGAAATAAGTCTACCGCCCCCCCCCCCCAAAAAAAAATTTCAAGTGCCACCCGGAGAAAAAAGCCTGGAAGAAACACTGCTTTAGATTGATATTATGTAAAAATGTATTATATCTTGTGATTATTTCAATAAAATCTTATTATGAACAAAATGTGAAATTACTGCTGTAAAATACTTAATGAGGAAATAACTGTTACGTTTAAAAAGTGATGTGTTAAATTGCATAGTTATAATTTTAAAAAGAACGGAATCATTAGTAACATTTAAAAAGACTCTTCAAAAAAAGGAAATATACTGAAACAACATTAGTCTAATTACATAAACACACTAACATATTTGTTTCTTGACATACATTATATATATATATATATATATATATATATATATATATATATATATATATATATATATATATATATATATTACTCTATATTTATTTATTAACTAGAATACAGAATGTTTATTGCGATAATGCTTGTCGAATAGCCACTATGTTAGTTTGTCATCTGCCATCATTTTACTTACACATTTTTGTGATATCCTGTGACACTTTTAAAACAGCTTTTTCCTTAGTTTCAGTCTGAGAATAGATTAACAGTTAGGTTATTTATTTCATACTTTAAGCAGTTTAACTTAGAAAACACATTAAACTTATCCAGCTAAACATACTCCACTACTGTACAACTAAGACACATTATTAGTGTGTACAATGATAAGGGCAGACTAAACGTTTCAGGTCGGATATATGCCTCGTATTCTATAAAGAATTATATACGTTATTGTTTGTTGAATAAACTGTTTGTAATCTCTGAACTAAAACATTGTTATAGAAAAGTAGTATACAAAATCGCCTTTATCATATTGTTACACTATTATTTCTGGTACTAAATGTATTATAATGTTAGTAAAGTAAAACGTCTTGAAAAAAAGCAACATATTCAATTTGAAGTATCTAGCTGTGTGTTTACATTCTTGGGCCATCGGTATGTATTTGTTTTTACTTCTTACTTTAGCGATTGATATAATAATCACATGTAAAAAAGTGCCAAAAATAAACCATGACAAAAATAGGCGACTATTCAACTATTCCATAAAATGTATATGGTGTGAAAGTGAAATTTTTAAAGATTTATAATACACTACCTATTTGGGTATTTTACTTTCAGTTTTTGTACTGTATTCTTAGACATTTTTTAAAAAGTTTAAATAATTGTGTGAATATGCACCAATGTGTGTTGCAAAAGTTTACATAACCAAGCTATTTAGCATATAATCATAATCATTGAAAGTAATTTGAGAGGTACATATTCTAATATTTGTGATTTTAGTTTTGTATAAAAACGTAGAATTTAATGCATTTCAATTTCTAATTACATTTTTTAACTTAACAAAAAAATAATACCTTAGACGGAAATTTTCTCCGTGAGCTTGTGGTATAAATAGTATTTTTCTTTCCATCTTCTTGTATTGTAGAAGTCAAATCTGAATGGCTCCTAATTTCTCGTGAATACGGCTCTACTTTTTCAGTCGGACCCTTAATCAATGTATTTATTTTATCTTAGTTACATTTGTAATGTTTCAAATATACTGACTTTTCGTACTGTCTCAGACGTTTTATTAAAAGTTTAAATCATTTTGTAAAAAGGATTAAATGTTTGTTGCAAAAGTTTACTTAAGCAAGCTATTTATTATATAATCATAATCAATGGAAGTAATTTGAGAGGTACATATTCTCAAATTTTTAGTTTTGTATAAAAACGTAGAATGTAATGCATTTTAATTTCTAAATAAAATCTAGTGAGCTTAACAAAAGATAATACCTTAAACGGCAATTTCCCCCGTGAGCTTGTTGTACAAATAGTATTTTTCTTTCCATCTTCTTGTATTGTAGAAGTCAAATCTGAAAGGCTCCTAATTCCTCGTGAATACGGTTCTACTTTTTCAGTCAGATCCTTAATTAATGTATTTATTTTAACTTAGTTACATTTGTAGTCTATCAAATCTAACGACTTTTCGTACTGTTGTCTTAAACGTTCTATTAAAAGTTTAAATAATTTTGTGAATAGGCATCAATGTTTGTTGCAAAAGTTTACATAAGAAGCTATTTAGTATATAATTATAATTATTGAAACTAATTTTAGAGGTACATATTCTAACATTTTTAGTTTTAGATTTGTATAAAAACGTAGAATGTAATGCATTTCAATTTCTAATTAAAATCTAGTGAGCTTAACACAAATAGTACCTTAGAAGGTAATTTCCCACGTGAGCTTGTAGTATTCATCTTATTTTTCTTTCCATCTTATTGTATTGTAGATGTCAAATCAGAATGGCTCCTAATTTCTTGTGAAAACGTTTCTACTTTTACAGTCAGACCATTAATCAAAGCATTTATTTTATCTAAGCTACATTTGTAATCTTTCAAATCTAATGACGTTTTCACTATTGATTCCTCTGAAATTGCTTCTTTTTGTTTTATACATTCAATGTCTTCAAACAGTTTCTCTATTTTATTACCTTGTTCATGTATTTGTTTCTTAATGTTTTCAAAATTTTGTTTTTGTTTCTTGGACAATTTTTCAACTAGATTCCCATTATTAATTTTTTCGGTTACAAAGTTGTCTCTCCATTGTTTTATTTCTGATATTTCATTTTCAGTCTTTTGTTTTGCGTCTTGAAGGGATGATAAACATTTTTCAATATCCGTCAGTCTTCTCATTGCGTCTGTATTACTTTCAGCTGTTCAAATTAAAATTAAATAAAGGCGGTTTCAAGTAAGAAATAAAAATGTATGATGACATTCTGGGGAAAGCTGTACTTCAACGATAAATTAAATGACTGTACAATAAAATAAAATAAAAATATTTTATATAAGATGATTTAACTTTATGTACACAAATTGTTGAATTTTTTTAGCGCATCACGAATAATGAAAAAGTTACTTTCCACAGTACTAGAAACGATATATATTTCTATACCACTGAAACAAGTTTACCGAGAAAAGTGTTAGAAATATTCTCTGCTTGTGATTGCTTTAAACTTTCTCTTCTTGTCTCTTCTTCTGTCAGCTCTGTGGAAGAGTACATGTTGGTGGTTTCTAGAGCAAGATATACATATTACTTTCCAATAACTTTGTCATAATTAAAATTATGTTAATTAAACGCATAATAATTATTAAAATAATAAACACTATGATAGTGAACAGTGACAAAATGTAAACTAAATCTTACCAGTTAATAAATGGATATGTTCATGTAATGCACTTTGCGCTTTTGTTACCATAGTGATTGCATCTTTAACTGTCATATTGGTGTCAGAAGTGTTGTTTACACTTTTCTTTGCAATTGTGGTGATCTACAATATTCAGAAGAATGTATTGAAATTGTTTAACTTTTAATTATACACAAAGCAAACATATAGACATACTAAGTGGCTTAGTTGTACACTAGACGTAAATATATGTCAAATGGTACTTAAATAACGTATACGTTTATTTTGTCTTTTTTAACATTCTACAAACAATGTAACAAACCATAACGACACAGGTAACTTTACTATTTATATTTACCTGCTGTACAAAATCACTGATGCTACTTTGTAGGTAAAAACTTGACTCGTCCAAAAGCTCGAGCTGATTAGTTAAATGTTTCTTTAAGTAGTCAGACATCTGCATCAATTTATTAATATTTTTATAAATTGGACTAAACATTGCTCCTTCAAGTTTTATTATTGAAATTAAATATCACACATTTATAAAATAAACCGGGAGTGATCTCCCCTAAACTTTCTCGAATATTCTTATATAAAATAACAGGGGATGGGAACTCGGGCTATAGACTTCTAGACATGATTTTTAATCCATTTTAAATACTTAAAGTTTTAAAATAGAATAAAATCTCGTAGACAAATTAATTGCACACCAAGTGAACGCGAATAAAAAAGCGCATAATAGTGCGCAATATTATTAGTACTTTTAAAATTTACATTAGTTTTTTGAGAAATCAGAAGTAGCGTAAATAAGTACTTCCGGTCAACGGAAATTACTCAAAATTTGACAGAAGGTAGAGAATTAGATCTTTTACTTACATATCAAATTTCATTTATCTATCTGAAATAGTACTCAAGTTATAGGCTTTTGAAAAATTCAAAGTAGAAAAAGTACCACTTCCGGTTATCCGAAATCGCTCAAAAGTTGATACGGATCTACGATTTTGATAAAATACTTGTATATGAAATTTCATCAACCTAGCTGTAACGGTACTCAAGTTATCGTGTTTACACGCGGACACACACACACACACACACACACAGACACACAGACATACGGACAAGATTGCAAAATTATGTTTTTCCGTATCAGTGAGATGTAAAACGTCGAGATTTGCAAAAATCTCGATTTTTTTTTTGCACGATTACAAGACTTTCTCTATACTTCGTATATACGAGAAAGTAAAAAACTATACTTACTAATTAAATAGATTTTTGCCATCGTTTGTTATAGACATATTTTTTTTCCGGAAAGAGTGGGGGTGTTTAACAGCATTTAAGACTCTAGGTGAACGGAGTACATTTTAAGGGAGTCGCAGAAACTAGTTAATTTGTTTTTTCATATATAGAGAGATTATAGGCCTACATTTCTGTTTCATTTTGGAAGGCACTGGATATCACAGATGCGGATGCTTCATAAGTAATACAAATTTAACATGTCGGAAACACATTGTTAATATTAATCGATTAGGATCCTATCTGGGACTTAAAACGCTAGTCATAGAACATGTTTGTTCCATCCAGAGGCTCATCATTGTTTTCGGTGTGGGGTAAGCGATATATATATATATATATATATATATATATATATATATATATATATATATATATATATATATATATATATATATATATATATACATACTAGCCGTCCCGACCAGACCCTGCACTGGCCTCTGTGAATAACCTATCTGTGAGGGACCACAACATGTGGAGTAATCAGCATGTACCCAGCATTGCCCTCCCTAACCACAACCAACCGAAACCAAAACACACAAAAACGCAAACAAACACAAGCGCTAACAGAAACAGAAACAAAAATAAAAGCACCAACGCAAACACAAAACCAACCACAAACGCAAACACAAATGCAAACAAAACAGCAAATAAAACAAACAAAATCCAAATACAAACACAAACCCAACCACAAACGCAAACTCAACCCAAACGCAAATAAAACATAAACGCCAACATAAACGCAAAACGCTCACAGTCTAGCCGGGGGCGCCAAATCGCACCATGCTGGGGCGCCGGCGGAATCGTCTGTTTCAGCTTAGTAAATAACTATAGTACCCCAACTTATTCATAGTCTTTTGCACTTACTTAAACCAACGTAGGCACCATGGCGAACACGGGAAGGCCCGGTATGCCAAATAGCAAACTGTAGGGGATGCCGGAGGACGCCCAGATTTGATTCACTTAAAGACTATAGTAACCTTTCTTATCCATAGTCTATCGCACTGTATAAAACGAAATTATGCACCATAGCGCTCACTTGGTAGCCCAGGGCGCCAAATTGAACCGTGCAGTGGCGCCTGCGAACGTGCCAGTTTCGATTTAGTGACCAATTAAAATACCCCAAGTTTATCCGCAAACGGAAAGAAGTAAAGATAGAGCAGCTGGCTTCTTAACTGTTATTGATTTTAAAAGAAAATAATTAGTAACCAGTACGTTCAGTGCATAGAAAAAAAAGACAGTATCTTAAACACCCTCCACGTTGTACTTAATCAATCCGTGCTAGTTATGTAAGTAATTTTTTTTCCTAACATCAAAACAAAATAATAAAAAGTAAATTTTTCCTCCGATGTATGGTTTTTAATAAAGGGAAGTAATTATGTTTTCTTTATTTATCCAAGGACGTAATAAGTGCCAAATGACTAAATGTAAAAAAGTTTCAGACATAATTAGAATTTGTGGGAAAGGTAATACATTTTTTAAAATTTTGTTTTATGACCATGGCGGCAATTATTATTATAAGTTTAAAACATAAAAATTGTTTTACAGTACCTTGAATATTATTTTTTTAAATAATGAATTTAGACGAGGAGTACTTTAGACATTCAACACTTTAGGCAATAAAGTTATTATTTTTTCTTATATGTCTTTGTAATTCTTGGTTACATACAAACATACATACATAAATACATACATACATACATACATAATTGAACTTTATATATATATATATATATATATATATATATATATATATATATATATATATATATATATATATATATATATATATATATATATATATATATATATATATATATATATATATATATATATATATATATATATATATATATATATATATATATATATATATATATATATATATATATATATATTTATATATTTATATTTATATATATATATATATATATATATATATATATATATATATATATATATATATATATATATATATATATATATATATATATATTTATATATATATATATAACTTGATGTTGAAATGAACCTCAAATATTAAACAAATGTTAGGAGTACTTTTCTGAGTTCCACAAATTAAGTTTTTTAAAAATTTTAAAATTAAACAGCATATATAAGAATATATGGAGTTGTTTCTCTAACTTTATTGTAGGTTTAATATCTAAGAAGCCTTTTGTAAAATAATCTTTTTACTAGCTTCTTGGTGTTCGCAGCATTGAATAAATCTTTCATTGTCATCTTCGTGTACTGCATCGTATTGAAGAAAATTGATGAATTCTGCTTATTTCGTTAATTGAATCTACAATAATTTCACATATTATCTTCGTTAAAAATAGGGCTGTAACAAACTGTATTAAGTCGTTTTGCGTACTTGGAAATAAATATCACCGAAATTTAGACGTTGTGTTAACAAATCATATTTCATACATAGAAGCTTATTGAGTTAAAAAAATTGATTTCATTTGACAGAGGCACTCCTAAATCTTGGGATTCACGACTGCCCCTATATGCTAAAACCTATTTTCCTAAATAGATAACTGAATCGATTATACTTCGAAGTATTATTATTTTCAATTCCACTTTATTCTTTTCTGCCGTTAAAATACCACACAATATGGTTATATCTTTAAACATTCAAAATTTCGTAAAAGATGAAATGTTTTCTTAGCAATCTTGTGATTTTGTTTCCTTTTACCAATGGGCACTAAAATGGCTAAAAGTTACATTTTTAAGAAAATCTTTAAAAGTCACCCATCTTTAAGGCCTAGTTGATAAGGACAAGCTCGTATAATGCATGTACATCCATTTTTAATTACTTAAACTTTCAAAAATAGAATAGAATTTCCTAGAAAAAAGAATTGCGCACCAAGTGATTGCCAAAAACTATGTGTATAATAGTGCGGAATATTATTAGTAATTCACATGCGTTTTTTTTTTTTCGAGAAATCGGAAATAGCGTAATTTATTACTTCCGGTCAACGGAAATTACTCAAAATAACAGAAGACAGAGAATTAGATCCTTTACATAGATATGCTATTTCATTTATCTATTTGAAACAGTACTCAAGTTAGAGGCTTTTGAAAAATTGAAAGTAGAAAAAGTACCACTTCCTGTTATTGGATATAGCTTAAAAATTGATACGGATCTACAAATTTGATATTATACTTATATAAGAAATGTCATCAATCTAGCTGTAACGGTACTCAATTTATCGTGTTTATAGACACACATACACACACATACATACACAAACAGACAAAATTGCAAAACTATGTTTTTCCAACTATTGTGAAAATACCGATTTTTTTTTTTTTGCACGATTACAACGATTACAAGACTTCCTCTACCCTTCGTATGCTAGGAGTAAAAACACAACACCAATGTTACACGAAATACTTTCTAATAACAGAACAGAAAATACTACGGCATATGTTATTATACAATACACAATGCATTTGTATTAATACGTTTAACATCGAGTTAATTATTACAATATATTTAAACTAACTTAGTAGAAAGTCATTGTTAATCAACATATAGATCAACACGTCTGGATAGATATGTACAAAATTAAATATATTGTTTTTACTTACTTTTGATAGACGATGTCACTTTTAATAGTAAACGGGAAAATAGTGATTTTATTGAAACTAAATTAGACGACCTGTATTACTTAGAATATCTAAACTAACAGAGCTTTCAACTGTCATGCATACGCCCACTTTCAAACTGATTAAAAATATAGGCCTTAGTATAGGAGTTTTCCAATTATTATTTGACATTGCTGCTTACGCAGTGCAGTGTAGATGCGTTTTGTATGTTTAAAGAATAAAGAATCAACGTCTAAAAAGTTGAATGTAAAACTATATGCATTAAAAGCTGCATTGGCAGCTTTGAATGTGATTCTTGTTATCATTTCATTAAAGGCTTTCCTATCTATATCTATAAAAGCAAAGCAAGCAAGTATCAGAAAAATTACTCTTTACAAAAGCTATGGTTCACTCTGACGGGAAAAAACTTTAGCCATATAAATGAAACGAGCACATTGCGACTTCAATTTAAAATGTTAGTACAAAGCATTAAAAACAAAATTTTAAAAAGAGAAACAGCTTCGACCAAGATTTTCGACGGTTCAACAAATATGAATAATTAATCTTCGTAAACTTGCAAGTACTTAAATTGCTGGTTCCTAATAATCTCCTGCAATCTTTTTTGGTAAATTTACGTATGTGCAAAATGGTTCCGAATAGATTTCCGTTTCCGGTTATGTTCAAAATATTTTAAGGTTTTAGCGTAAATTTCCATTTACTGTTTTTAAAAAATCAGGATTAGCTTAAAATGCGTGTTTAGGGTGAGGTAACGTTTTCACTTAAATTTTGTTTCCGGGAGCGCGCTTACAGCTTGTTTTCTATCGTCTCCAAGAAGAGAATTATATATATAGATGCTTATCTTGTGTGGTGATCATTTCACAAAAGAATGAGGCGGGGTCTTGGTGGCGAATTTTATAACTAAGAGTAATCAATTTGGTATATCTCCATTTAATGCATCTTGTTTAGACAATGTGTTAAATAGATTAGTTAATAAAGAAATTCAGAGATAAGCGAAAATTGTATTTTTATCTTGATTCATACATAAGAAAGAAAATATGTTTATACATTTTTATATAGCAAATACATAATAATTAAAAATGTCTGCGTGGTATTATATAATATTATTTTATTGTTTTCATTTTGTTCAGATATGTATTTTTTAATCAAAATTTCAAATTTAAATTATTTGCAAATGATTATCTGGTAATATATAATTAAACATTTTTCGGGCAAGTATCCATTCGGGCATCTGTCGCATTCGGGCAAGTGTCCATTCGGGCATTTGTCGCATTCGGGCAAGTGTTCATTCGGGAAATCGGCCTTTGGGCAAACGGCATTCGGGCAAGTGTTTTTCGGGAATTTGTCGTAGACCCGGCCAGCCTACATAATACATCAGATCTGTGATATTAGTAACTTGTAATACTACTAATGTATTACATCTGCCTTCTGGTGCATTAAATTACTGGCGTACCCCAGATGTAAACTTTGTAGTTCATTTATGCAAATCTATTATATAAGTGCCAAGGTTTTCTATATATTTCAACATTAATATCATCATTTTGATACATTTTAAACTTAACATGAAAAACAAGTCTGAATCTTATTGTGTATTCAAAACAATATAACCTTGTCATAGCGGAAATGTCCTATACTTAGGCCTATATTTACAATCAGAGCTGAAGTGGGCGTATACAAGATAGCATTCTTTGTATTTGATTTGTAGTATCAAAACTCCAAGTTTGATCAGTTAATTATCAATAATTTAAAACAAAAAACCACATTTTTTGTTTGTTTACTATTAACGGTGACAGCAGCTATTTACATTAATTTAAAACTGTAAGTTCATTATTTACTAAATATCTTGCCAACGAGTTAAACAATTGAGAATAAACACCCATCAAACTTTAGCTTTTAGTACTTTTACGAAGTTAGTTTTCAAACTACTCCTGAAAGAAAACTTTGTTTTACGATCTCTCTGATTTAACAGTTTAACAAGATGTTATAAAACAAATAAGCCGGCTATTCTGATTAACATAAGAAACAACTATGTAGGCCTAAGTGGGCTCGATTTTTATAAACAATTTATATTTTATGTCAAATACTGCAATATATTTATAAGATATTTACGTCTATAAGTCTCTCATACAATTTTAACGATATAGCAAAAAAAAAATAATTGCGTTAAAATTTTTTGACTATAATTTCACACCGAGTGTATTCTGTAGAATATTTTCAGCCGTGTTAGTATGATAAAAATAAATAAAAGCAGAATTAGATTGTTGCTTACATTAGAACGCTGTTGTTACACCTGACCTATTATTTTTTTATGGCATGTTGATCCAGGTGGAACAATCATTGTTTACATTAGGAGGGATGTTACAGACGAAATAAGCCAATTATTATGAAGGAAAATATTGTTACCGTAATAACAAAACACTAAAGAGACAGAACCATTTAGTATTACCAAGACCTGCATTAGAGTTGTTGAAACCGGCATTGGAAAACAAATCAAAGTAGACAACAAAATTCTGACCTTTGATTAGGCGATAACTCACAATACTATACCGAAAAAGGTTGATAGAAATAAGAGATAAAATATTTTTTTACAAACATTCTGACGACAACAAAACACATCGGCAAAAATTGAAAGGCAGTTGTTACTCTTGTTTGGGGAAATATGACTAAATATTTAGTATCAACAATTGTAATAGTGGAAGTATCTCACGTCTATGTGTAGAAAATATTTGAGCTATCTTATAGTGATGTTCCATGAGTAAGACAAAATCGTGAAAATATTACACTACCTAATCTAGGTTTGCTATGTAGAAATCGGCGAATTTGAAGAATTTTGGGCTAAAGATTTGACAGTAAATAGTGAAATTAAAAACGAACATATTTAAAAAAAGAACGTAATTGACTTGTCTTGAACGCTATTCCATAACACATCTGTCATGGAATGCATTTATTGTTTAAACCCACCTGGGGTTGTGGGTCCATGATTATATGGAATTTATCTCTAGTTAGTACAGATTGTTAACTTTATTTACATGAGAAGAATATCATTTTAGGAACAGTGTAATATTATTATATAAACAATGATATAAAATGTTACAGAACAAACTGCGGTCTGCTTTGCAGCATGTAGTTGAAAAATAAATCTGATCACACCAACATTCGCACAGTTCTCGGACACATTCACGTCCGATATTGGTCTATGGTGGCTGCTGAATACCACATTTACCCGCGCTTATAAAACCTTCATTCTCTCACTCCAGTCAGTGAACGATATCCGAGAAAAGCTAAAATACAATGATAGATCGTTCACGCATTCACTACCGTTCGCCAGGTATTCAACTGTGTTACATAATTCACTCGAAACACAATAATACAGTCGTCTACAACATCAGTATTTGTTTAAAAGATAGCTTTATTTTCTGCTCAAATTTATAATGTTATTGTTTCAATAATAAGTAAAGGCAAACAGTAAAAGTTTAATATGTTTTATTTTGTTAAGTGCATGTGTAAGATTATTTTTAATACATTGCATATAACGTTAGATCTTTATGAGAGAAAATAAGTCCAATGTCGCTTGTAATGAAGATTAATAAATATACTCATTTTCTCATCCATGGCTAATATTTTCAGATTTTAGTCAATATTATACCTGCAAATTATTGCAAAACTTTTTGATATTGAAAAATAATATTGGTTTTTGTTTTTAAATGTATGTTATGTGTAAAAATTAGACTGCAAATAGGGAACAAGAAAAATGTGTACATTCACAATCCTTACAGGCAGTTGATGAAAATAAGACATCTCCAGTTTTCATCTGAACTTCAAATTTTATTGAACCGACAAGAGATTTTTCTTGTGTCCAAACAACACTGAGCCATGACTCCACACCACCAGATTTGTGCCCAACACAACCTTGTACAGCACGATCTCCTGTTTGTTTTATTCTAAGACTTGCTTTATACAGGCCATCAACAGGGGCGGTAAACTCTCCAGTCTTTGGATCAAAATGGTTTCCTACGTTATGTTCTACATCACTGAATGTAATAACTGGGTGTCCTTTACGGTATGTCCCATCCCAGCGCCCTTGTGAAGCAATAAATCCAAGTGTAGAATGTTTTACTTCTTGATTGGCTGCAAATATAAAATAAAAATCAACCATTTTGTTCTTTACTCTTTATTAACCCATATTCTGCTAGCGTCCCACTTATGGGACGCTTGTAAAAAAAATTGCTAAAATTTATTAAAAACTAGTTAAAATACAAATTAGGTTATATTTTATTTGAAAATGGCTAGACTATTGAATTTGTGTGTTTTGTGAAAAAAATTAATTTAGAAAAATGTTATAGTGCCGGCTTAGCAGGACTTGTCAAAATGGCGGAAAAAGAAAACATGCGCACAGGAAAATGCATTTCTTCTAAAATATTAACATTTTAAGTGCAAAATACATTAGAAACTTGTAGCAGTACCATATTTCTATCTGATAAAAATTTAAGAATAACAATTTTCTTTTACTACTTCGTTATATCAAGTGTACAACAAGCGTCCCATGAGTGGGACGCTAGCAACGAATGGCCCCATGTAGATTGCTACACAAACGTCACATTTATTGGACACTAGCGAGAAATACAGATGCAAATGTTTATGTTAAATGGTTATTTATGGTGAAACAATTGCTGACTTTGTTAACTGCTGACTTTGGGGTGTTAAGTAGTATTTATAGATATTTAACTATGACCTTGACCTATATTTATGCAGATTGTTACACAAACGTCACATTTATTGGACACTAGCGAGAAATACAGATGCAAATATTTATGTCAAATGGTTATTTATGGTGAAACAATTGTTGACTTTGTTAACTGTTGACTTTGGGGTGTTAAGTGGTATTTATAGATATTTAATTATGACCTTGAGCTATATTTTATTATATATTATTGTATTAAAAAATTGCAAATATTCAAAAACTTACATTTTATTTTTAAGTTTTCAAAATTACACTTACTGAAGTATTTAATAGCATTGAATACAAACTAATTTAGTATTGCTGTAAATTTATAAGCGCGTGATATTAAAATTATAACAAACCAGAATAATAACAATGGCCATGATTTAGGTGAAATGATTCAATCATGGGGGTTGGTTAACTCTCTTCATATAAGATAGCTTAAGCTACATATAGCAGAAATGTGAATTAGCTGTGTACAGTTGTCATGCCCCAATAATATTCCCCCCCCCCAAAGGTTCCCGATACCAGTTTTACTTTGTTAACTTTTTAAGGAGATTCCTGGTGTTAGATTGGGAGCTGTTCGCATAGTGAAGTGCATACATGGATGAGAGTCATGAACACTCAATACAAGCCCCCAGAGACGGATCCGTGCCCTAGAAATAAGATGTCTAATGTCCTAATGTACGCCTGTGAGGGGGGGGGGGAATAGCGAGGGTAACAAAAGAGAAGATGGCTGGATGACATCTGGGACTGGACCGGATCATCTTTTGCAAATTCACTGAGGGCAGAGTTTCTTTCTGGCATCATTTCGGAGGAGGGGGGGGGGGTGGGCTCTGCCCACAGAACAAAATGGAATTTATATAGAAAACATGCTTTTACCAATGTCCACCCTTTCCCCTGAAATTTAAGTCCCCACCCCTGAAAATTTTAAGTACGCCCCCCAAAAAATCAATCATTTATATTTAATTATATTACAGTTTCGATGAATAATAACAATTTTTGTGATCATGTGTGTATAATTAGATGTACTAGTCACAGCTTTACTTATTTCCAAGTGTTGTTCACTTTGATGGACGCTAGATTGAAAGAAAACTAGACTTTTGAACATAATTTCTACATTTTAGACCATGGTATGGCTAACCCAATTGATCATTATCAATATTTTTAGCTGTCCTAAACAATGTAGTCATTGGTCTAACAATATAAAAAATCAGTATACAGGTTAATTTTCGCGTGATTAGCCATATTTCGTGAAAAATGATTTTATTTTTCAATAAATGTACATGGGGTTGTTCGTTGCTAGCGTCCCATTTATGGGACGTTTTTAAAAAATCGATATTTAAAAAAGTATTGATTTAATGATTTAAAAAAAAAGCCATAGTCATTCCTTCATTCAGTGCCCAAAAGCTAAACCATATCAAAAAATTATAAAAATTTGTGACCTTGGGATAATATGGGTTAAACAAATTACACAAATTATGCCCAATTGACTTAATTTATAAACTATCACAAATTATTATTCCGCCGAATCAAGCCACGAATTATTTTTGCTTAGATTTATAAAAAAACACATTCAAAAACAATATATTTTCCAAGTAAACAGTAAGTTGTACATATGTTTATTGAATGCCCGTAAACCACACAAGAACTAAACCATACATTATGGACTAATTGTTTGTTAATTTAAAAAGCAACAACAATGTTTTGACGGTTGATGTCCAAGACACGCAATAGCAGTGTAGGACTCGCCCAAAAACAAAAGACTACATTTAAGCTATCACTCTCTAGCTATTGGCTACAATTTTCTTGTTTTTTTTTGTTTTTATGTTAGGTGGGTTGTTTCCCTTTCTCAAGTAACCAAAAAAGTCTCCCACTGTAACGATCATTACATTTCTGGTATAGGATGAAGGAGAAAATAATTCCATTCAGTGACGTAGCTACCGTAAAGCTAGAGTAAGCAAGGCGTAGGGCCCAAGGCACTAAGGGGCCCTTTTCCTTCTTTAAATAAACCGGGAGTGATCTCCCCTAAACTTTCTCGAATATTCTTATATAAAACAACAGGGGATGGGAACTCGGGATATAGATCTAGTTATGATTTTTAATCCATTTTAAATAATTAAACTTTTTAAAATAGAATAGAATCTCATAGAAAAAAGTTTTGCGCACCAAGCGAACGCTGAATAAAGATGTTCATAATGGTGCGCAATATTATTAGTACTTTATAAATTTAGATGCGTTTTTGAGAAATCGGAAATAGCGTAAATTAGTACTTCCCGTCAACGAAAATGACTCAAAATTTGACAGAAGGTAGAGAATTAGATCTTTTACTTACATGTGAAATTTCATTTATCTATCTGAAATATGCTTTTGAAAAATTCAAAGTAGAAAAAGTACCACTTTCGGTTATCGGAAATCGCTCAAAAGTTGATACGGATCTACGATTTTGATAAAATACTTATATATGAAATTTCATCAACCTAGCTGTAACAGTACTCAAGTTATCGTTTTTACACACACACAGACACACACACACACACACAGACACACAGACATACGGACAAGATTGCAAAATTATGTTTTTCCGTATCAGTGAGGTGTAAAACGTCGAGATTTGTAAAAATCTCGATTTTTTTTTGCACGATTACAATACTTTCTCTATACTTCGTATATACGAGAAAGTAAAAAGTTAATAAATTTTAATATTTATTTCATATAAATATTTTTTTTAAAATGGAAATCAAGTTTTTTTTTTTATTTTTACTGTAGAAATGATTAAAATTTCATAAAAGGCCCCAAGTCCTTTCTTAGTGTACAGGCAGTGGCATTCAGTGTGTGTGGGGGGGGGGGGGGGGGTGGTGACGAATAGGGCCCACCCATATTAATAACATCAAAGGCGCTGAATGTGGTTAGGGGTGGCGTCGAAAAGGGCCCACCCCGTATTAATAACACAACAGGCGTACAGGGCCCACTCGTATTAATAACACCACAGTTGCTGAGTGTGTGTGGGGGGAGGTGGAGTCGATAAGGGACTACCCCGTATTAATAAGACCACAAGCGTTGCCGCAGTTTTAGTAAGCAATGCAGTGAATCAGCCTATAAAATTTAAATGTGAGATACGACATCCAGCACCCGTATATTTTCACGTTTCGCTAAAAGCCGCAACTGCGTGGGAAACTCCCAACACCCCCCCCCCCCCCATCACCAACCAAAAACCTGCATCTCCCTTCTGTCTCCCTTATTTGTACGACTAGGTTGCAACAATGCGGACGGGTATGCCAGTTCCGTATGAAACTTCTTTAACATTCGATGGTGATAATGGAGAGTTTGCTGTCTATGATGGAATCTGATTATTTGCATATTATAATGATATTATAAAACCAATTGTAAATATGCCTTTTGGGTCAGTAACTTCGCCAGCTAAAATATATCCCAAGAACCTCATTAATAATTTTGCAAACTTAAAAGCTTGAAAAAGAAATCAAATCTAAATAAATTGAGACACAATTTTTTAAAATTGTGCTGGGTTAGTGGTCACAAGGTAGGTTGTCCCCCTGAAAGTTTACTGAAGATGTAAGTCCCCCCCCCCCCCCCCTCCGCCCCCACTTCCTCTCCCCAAAAATTTAGTATTTTCGGTGGGCTGTCACCCCTCTCTTCTTAATCTTTTAGTATTTTAACTGGATAAAACATAGTTATGACAGTACATGTAACATTTTTTTGTCATGGTGTCTAGATTAAATGGTGTTATCGGATGTGGGCTGCACCATGGCCTTGTGACGCAAGATATTTTACATTACGGTGCAGTACATAAAAAAAAAGTCTGAAAGAAACACTGGTAGCAATCGCTGCCCATTTTTAACTGAGTTGTAGCCTAACGGGTGACGAATGGGCCCATTGATAATTTTTGCATAGAGGCTTTAAAATCCTAGCTACGCCACTGATTCCAATAATAACAATCAGATAATACACACACGCCATTTATTTATAATCATTATAAACAAAATAGGTTTATATTAAATTATTTTGAGAAACAATGAATTCGAATTAATGGTCATGATGAATTATAATGTTTTATTTACACTTTCATGAGGAATTTTTTTAAAAATATTTATATAGATAATGAATTTGTTAAAGAGCATAGTTTAAATTAATTTCTTATGTAAGCATTAGTAAAAATAAAATCCTTTTATCAAAAAAGTACAGTGCCTATATAATGCAATAAATTTTCATTTGATGAAAAAACTTTAGCTGTGTATTTATAATTATCATGCATAAATTACCCGACATTATTTTACTTACTAAATGTCTGATAATCCGTTGACCAGGTTAATACATCTTTTTCCTGAGTTTCAATCTAAGAATAGAACAATAACTAATAAATAACTTATTTATTCCCTATTATAAACTGTCGATCTCAGAAGACAAATGTTACTTCAAGAAGCTTAACAATTTACTAGAGTGTACATGAAAAATTCAGTCTGCAAGTTTCAAGTGGGATTTATACATCACATTTATAATTCATAATAATCATTCTTGTTAGTTTAATCTGATCTTCTTGTTTTAAATTTCTTATTTGAATTCAGTACAATGTTAAATACTGTTTTTGCACATTTTTCACTTTAGGTTTTTTTTTAACTATAACTTCAGCATTTTTTATTTTTGTTTTATTAATTCATTTTTTTTAAGATTAAAAACAAAGTCAGGTGTATAAATACCCCCCAGTCTTCTGTACATACAAATTAAAAGTGGCATAACTATACATTTCCATTTTTACTTGTATGGATGGTATATTAAGAACTAATCTGACAAGCCATGTGCTAAATTTGAACAACAGGGAAAATGAATGTGAGGACGCCCACATAGACCTGGATGCAGAGTCTTCTTGAAGAACTGACGATAGAAGGGGTCTTGGGAGGTTGCAAAAACAACAGTGTGGGAAAGAACAAAATGGAAGGTTATGGTTGAGGCCATTTGCTTCACAAGAAGTAAAGAGGAGTAAGTAAAGTCATAATTAAAAAATTCTTAGAGGCACTAAAAAGATGACATGACAAAACATCAACTATTTTACTATTAAATAGTTATATAATATTCTGATATAGTATAGCATATATAAATACAATATAGTGTATAGTATTTAAGGAAAATATTAAAATATGTATAAAAACGATCTATACAGTTATTTTACCTTCACTTTTCTCTCCTTAGTCTCAAAATGTCTATTAAAAGTTTGAATCATTTTGTCAATAGGCATCAATCTTTGTTGTAGAAGGTTACATATAACAGTGTGCTGTTGAATAAAATAATTGTTAGTAATGCATATAAAAGAAATTCATATTAAACAAAGTGTATGTCAAAATGAACTTAAATTGAGTTATATAAAATAATTTAATTAAAAGTTTTCTGATAAAAATTAATCAGCTTACTACAACTTTTATAATTATTACCTTAGATAGTATATTTTCACACAATTTAGTTGTATGTAAAATGTTTTTCTTTCCATCTTCTTGTATTGCAGATATCAAATCTGAATGGCTCCTAATTTCTTGTGATACATTTTCTTTTTGATCTCTCTGAACCTGTATCTCTTTATTAATATTGTCTAAATTGCTTTTGTAATCTATCAAATCTATGGACATTTTCTCTAACATTTTATTAGATATTGATTCTTTTTCTTTTAAACTTTCCATTTCTTCACAAAGCTTCTCTGTTTTGTTATCTTGTTCTTTTATTTCTTTCCTAATGTTTTTAAAATTTTGTTTATGTTTCTTTGACAACTTTTCAATGTTTATCCCCATGTCACTTTGTTCTGTCGTAAAATTGTCTCTCCATTGTTTTATCTCGTCTATGTCATCTTCAGTCTTTTGTTTTGTGTCTTGAAGGGATGATAAAGCTGTTTCAATATCCTTTAGTCTTCTAGATATTTCTGAATTGTATTCATCTGTTAGGTAAAATATTAAAATGTAGTAATAGGTGACTGAACAAAAATATAACTTATATTTAGCATATAAGAGTAATGTTAATATAAATACTTTAGATACAAGAAATGTAGAGTTAATTAAATACTTAGGTAAAAAAATCATGCTTTATACTATTTCTAGTATTCATTTAATATATTAGATGAAATAGAATGACATGAAAATATTACAATTCATGTTTTTTCATACAATGCTATTAAAGTGCTATCTATTTTGATGAATTATTTTAAATTTTCTTTTTATTATACTTCTTGTCATTATTGATTGGGGCTATACTTTTCTTATGATTGGCTATTCTTGTGAGTTGTTCAGTAATTTACATTTTAGGGAGTATAATTAAATGTACCAGATAATAAGTCTTTAGAAATTAATCCGCTATCTGTTGGTTGCAAACTTTCTGGTGTTGTCTTTTCTCCTGTTATCACAGTGGGAGGGTACAGCTTTGTGGATTCTGTCAACAAGATATAAACATGATGCACAGCAGTTAAAATCAACCTAAATCAAGGACTTGTCAGAAATGTGTCAGTTGTATGTACAGTGGCAAGTTTTAATTATAATATGGATATTTCATACATCATTTACACTGATAATATTTAAATATTTTAAAACTAAAGGACTTTTTTCAGTAAAGTTTATTTTACAAGCATAATTTTTAATGATTGTTAAGAAACAACAATATGCTTATATCAAAATAAGTTTTATAAAATGATGATGATACCTGTAAATATATATGTGAGTTCATGCAAAGTACTTTGAGCAGCTGTTACCATAGCAATAGCATCTTTCACATCTTTATTGGAGTCAGTAGTGGCTCTGATCTTAATCTTGACATGTAAGAAAAGTGTATTAAAGTGATTGATTAGTTTGGTTTAATCTTGAACAATGTAAATATTGTAGAACTAATGATGGTCTTTTATGCTAAAATGATTGTGTTAAACAAGTTACATTTAAAGGGTTTTTTTCCCACAGACTATGTAGATAAATCTAATGGGGTAAAGTGTGTGTTTCAAATAAAATAAATATGATCTGCAGATGATCATTCAGTGTTTAACATAATACATGTCTTTATCCAATGACTATGTAGATGAATCTAAGGAATATGTTATATACAATAAGTTTTATAAAAAAAATTTACATGACATGTAGATGATTTTATTTAATACTTTATAATATAGAGCAAAAATTATATTGTAAATAAATAAAAATATATTTTATAACATATTATTATTTTAAAATACAAGTGAGGTATGTCATTAAAAATGCACACCAATGCAAATAAAACCATCATAATTCACCTGCTGTACAAAATCACTGATGCTACTCTGTAGATAAACATTTGACTCATCCAATAGTTCAAGTTGACCAGCCAAATGTTTCTTTAAATGTTGATACATCTGCAAAATACATATTTTTTTTTACTTTGATGATACATTTTAGTCTATTTAATTTCTTAGTCAGATGTTTCCTTTAACAGATTATGAAATATAATGTGTTAGACTTGTGTTTTAAATGATAAAATTTAAAACTAAATTGGAAAACAACTTGTGAGTACTAAAGTAATTCTAGTTTATTATTATTGCATGCATAGCCTAACTTTTAAAATGGCTACACTTTACTTTGAAACTATATTTATATTATTTAGACTACTACTGTTAAAATGTTTGTAAACTACATTCAAACACACATTGCAGTCATAATTTATATTTAGATCTAAATCAATAATACCTTAAAATTATTTAAAATTATTTAAAATTTTGTTTTCGATACATGAAACAAAATGGCCTATCTTCTTTTCCTCTTAACACTGAAAAATAATATCGGGAAAATCCAATTTCTCTGAATTGTTTCATTCACTTTGAGGAATTAAAATTTGGAATCTTTAAGTGTTTACTAATTGATATTTTTGTTATTAAATTATATACACACAGTAAAACAAACCACATTATATTTTTGCTAAATGTTTTATTAAGAGTCATATTTTAATTCATCTTGTGTATGACACATCTTGAATTGACTAAACATGAATAAGAAATGAAAGTGAAACCTTTACATTGCCTCTGAGTCAAACTTTTAGATTGCTGCTGAGTCCACGGGTATCTTTCTCATACTACTATTTAAATAACAAAGAGTTATATTCAGTCTAATCAATAATGAATTTCATTTGTTTCACTTTGTTATAAAGTCATTGATACTGTTTTTAACTTGCAGAGTCTGTGTCCATCGTATGCTATGTGTAAGGATATTCATGTTTTTAGCGCATTTGTGCCATATGTAGTTTGCTCATTTTTTTTTTTTTAATTGAAGGCGTTTTATTTCAATCCCAAGTGTTCCACGATCACTGGTGTTGCCGAACAGATTGTAAGCTGTTGATGTTCCAGTGTTCTTGTAATTTTGGTCAGAGTCTCAACTAATGTCTTTAATTTGACTCCATCTCCTCCACATCCCGTTCCATGACCACTTGCATCATCTGTTTTCTCTGTTTGAGGACAGTTGCAGGTGACTTGATAAGATGTATATTTTTTCCATTTCCCTTCTGTCTGCTTCTCTTCTTAGCTCTTTTCCTTTTTTTTAATCTATTAGCCATGGAATGATTTTGTCATGTTGTCCTAATTTCTTCAATTCTTTTCATTGCTTTCACTGTAATCTGCCATAATTCTTTATTGTGTTTTACAGGTTCATTTCTCCTCTTTTCAAACTCTAAAGATGCACCAACTGTAAGTTAATTTCCAGCAGCCTTCCTGAATGCTTTAGTCCAGCCAGCAGCCTTCCTGAATGCTTTAGTCCAGCGAGCCTTGCGTGGGTTGCGTTTCTTCTGGAACGCCTTATGACACTTTGAATGACAAAATCTAAATATCTACAAAATGTATTTCGTGGCCTGGATACATAAGAGACGAACAGAAAAAACACTTATGTACTCTCATTTTCAATTATTTTTATTTTTTAGTCAAATTTAAATCAAAACACCATACTGTTAAACGTTTTTAGTTATCAGAAGTGTAAGTAGAGAGCACTGCAATGAATTTTGTTAAAGTACGTTGATAAAAGATATTAAGAAGTTAATAAAGTAAAGAATAGAATGTATATTATCTTAACACAAAAAATGATTTAATTTTAAACTTTAATGCCACATTTTGCCAGTTATGTAATTTTTGAGCTTAAAATTATGTTTAAGTTTCTAAATTTTATTTTTTCTTTAAAATTGTATTTGTCTGGGTTTTATTATTGGTGCCCTTCCTTATTTAATTTCAAAGGCAACATGGAGATTATAAATGTTCAAAAGCATTATATTTTTACAACGTTTGATTGGGGAGCGTTGTTACACACGTAAGTTTTTCTGTATATAATATACGTTGCAACTATTTGAGGAGTTCTGTTTGTGATAAGATGTAAATAAATAAATATGTTGATTTTCACTTTAAAATCATTACGTTTCACTGATTAGGAACGATAGTTGTTTGAAATGAGGACACCTTCAACCAAATCAAAGACAGGTACAATTTACAACGACATTAAAAGACGCAGGACCCGACAAAATTACAAATACAAAAAGACCCATTAAAAACAACGAAAAGCTTAAAATTGAAAATAGCATCTAGACATGGAAGACTAGTACACGAATGTTACCAAACCTTGAAAAACTGCTGACTATCTTTACCAAAAGCCACCTTCAAAGATACACACGACAGAGAATATTACTTGACCAAAAATATCACTCAACCAAAAGCTGGACTGTAAATACGAATTTATGGGGCTATTTAATTAAAACATTAGCTAGACAATCAGCACACAACTGATAATTCTACGGAAAATCTAACTTCTACCCACTCCACTAACAGAAAACATTAGAGTAGGTCAGCCAGTACACAACACTCAATGGAAGACGACCATTTAGATAACGTCTTGGTGAAGGAAAAAGAGAGGAAAAACCAACAACCAGAAGGGACAAACTCTCTAAACAAATTATTTTAAAACTGTAAACAGCTGAGCGACATTGACATAATAGTCATGAAAAATCTACGTAAACATACTAAATTTTTGAAAAGTCTTTCTAAAATTTTACATTTGTAAAAATTAAAGGGAATCATCGATTTCAATCATTTTTATATTTTTGTATCGAATATAAGCTGTTAAAAAGCCGTTTAGAATTATTTTATCAATTCAAATATTTTCAAAAACTGGCCTCAACCCATCCTTGAAGTCAACTGGAGTGGCCAGGGAGAGTAAAACAATAAAAGTCAGAACAATTGTTTTCCATGATACAAATACACAACAGTGATCTATGGTGTATAGTGTAGTATTTATTTTTATTAAATAATATAACATCCCCAATCACCACAACACCCTGACTCTACTAATCCAAATTAAAAATAAAAGTGTTTGTAAAAATACTATTATAGTATTTGATGCGTTTATTAATGGTAAGCTCTCTTTCTGAAAGCTTCCCGTTTAATCAATTCAAGTCTTTGATGTTTGCAGTTTTAAAAAATCTAAAGTCTCTATAGTGTATTCGGAATTATCCGTCCCTAGGTGAAGTTTGTGTTTTGGAGGATAATGAGAAGTACAATTGGGAAAAATGATGTTTACATTTTAAAAAGTCAATAAAAATTCTAATTTAGGCAAACGTTGTCATAGTGTATTGCCATCAATAGGGAGTCATCTGGAGGCACTATGAGACCAGATGGTTTGCCATTAATTAAGCTTTGTGAAAAATTGTGATGATATTTATTTGTCTTTGTTTCTTTTCGAGTATATTATTTTGTTCGAACAACACAAAAATAGTTGGTTGACTGTGTTCTTTTTAATTGCTGTCCCCCCCCCCCCCCCCGATCAGCGAGCCATAAAAATAATAGATCAGGTGTAACAAAAGCGTTATAAACTAAGATCTGTTTAAGATACATTAGCCAATCATTATGAAGAGAGATATTGTTATTTAAAAATACCAAAGAGACAGGCAGCTGTAATATTATTATCACCCGCATTAAAGTAGTTGAAACTGGCATTTAAAAAATAAAGCAAGGTAGACAACAAAATTCTGACGATTGATTAGGCGATAACTCATGTATCAAATAGAGAAAAAGGCTGATAAAATCAGAAACAAAACATGTGTGACTCAGCAATCTCTAGCGACAACAAAAACACGTCGGCAAAATACGAAAGACAATTTGTTTGATATTATTTAGGAAAATATCTAAATATTTAGTATAAAAATTGTAATAGTATGTTTAATGTCGCTTGTAATGACTCAATAAAAGTCTTTATTTTCTAATATGTTGAAAACAAGTTCGGATTCTATTCTACATTTACACTTTAATAAATGCTAATAATTGTACAACTTATTGATATTTTATTGTTTAAATACTATTAGTCTCCTTCCAAATGTCGTGTCAAGATTTCTGAAGGGAACAAGAAAAATGTGAACATTCCAAATCCGTAAGCGAAAAATCAGTGGCTGAAAATAAACCATCTCCAGTTTTCATCCGAACCTCAAAATTCTCTGAACGTTCAACAGATTTATCTTTTGTCCAAACATTCCCGAGATTGGTCAACACATCACCAGATTTGTGATAAAAACCAGCTACTACAGCATGATCTCCGGTTCGTTTTATTGCAAGTCTTGCTTTATACAGGCCATCAACAGGGGCGGTAAACACTCCAGTGTTTGGATCAAAATGGTTTCCTACGTTACATTCTACAGCACTGAATGTAATAATTTGGTATCTGCCATACATTTTCCCTTCCCAGCGACCTTGTGAAGCAATAAACCCCGGTGAAGAAGGTTTCACTTGTTGATTGGCTGCAAGAAATAAAATACATAAAGTATCTAAATATTACCAACTACTTAATACTAACTATTTTTTTAAAACTTGTTGGTTGAACTTAGACCAAATTTTGACCTTAGAACTGTTCCGAATCAAGTGACGCAGCTTTTAGATATACATTTATAAGATAAAATTTCAAGAATAATATTTTTTCTAACTAGATTTCTAAGTAAAAAGTAAGGATTACATTTTTATATTAAATACATGTAACCCACACAAGACACCAAATCATGTACATTATGGACCAATGATTTGTTCAGAAGTTTGAGGTCTATAAAAGGGTAGCCTCAGCCCAAAACAGAAGACTACGTTTAATCTATCATTCTCGTACTTTTGGTTAATATTAAGGGCAGGTTAAGCCCCCCCCCCCCCCCCCCCCCCCAAAATACATATTTAAGTCAGAAATGCTGATTTTTGAAAATCTATTGTTTCTGAAATTGCATTCAATTCTGAACATTTTTGTATAATTATTTTGCAAAATTTCGTATTGCTAGTATTTTTTATAATTTTTTAATTAATGAGACTAATGACGTAATTGACCTATATTAAGCAACATTTAGCAACATAAAAATTAAAAACTAACTAAAATAGATGTTCTTATTGCTGAGTAAGAGGCCCCAGATGCAATTTATGTAACTGGGAGGTTTTAAAAATGACTTATTTGGTATAATTTTTGCTTTTTCTCGTTTTTTCCAAATTTAGTATATTTTTCACTATTTAGCGTTTTTCTCAAAATGTTACTTTTCAACAATATAGTACCAGTTAAATCACTATAACTCAAAAACTACTTGAGATATTTAGCTGAAATTTTGCACACATGTTTACTAAACACTGCTTGTAAAGGTGAACTAAAAGAATTTCTACATCTTTGAAACTTCTCATTTTATTAAAAAAAAGCTAAGTCTACTCCCTACTTTTTGGAAAAAATTTAGGTCTCACATTTAAAAAATTTGGCTAAAATCCATTTTTCATTATTTTCTA